TGTGAACCGTTCGTTTCAATCTTTCTTCTCAGAAAGACTACCAGTAGTGGTAACACTGGTAAGAAAGAAGAGTTACATCCCTAGGCCAATTGTAAAAGGGCACCAGAGACAGGATGCAAAGGTAGATCTTGATCCAGGTCCTTTGTTTTCCTTGCTATGGAGGGATAAGTTCTGGGATTCAGGTTGCAGGACGTTTCAGTAGACAGTAATACCTAACAAACATCTTTCCCCTACCCCTTGAAGTACAGGCCAGTCATTTTCAAATTCCTTCCTTTTATCAGTATACTAAAACTAATTTTATGGCCAGACATACACCATTCTACTCCAAATGTCTGCACCAAGAACATCAGGATTATGTAATTCACACTCCTTAGAAAACCAGGCTTAAAAATGTTTGATGTTGACCTGAAAATAAAAGCATTGGTTGTATTAAAGAAACCATGCTAACAGCATCAACACATTGTTGCAAACTGATGAAAGCTTTTCTTTCTTATTTGGGAGGGGTCTTATTATTATTACCTTTAAGTAAAACTCGAAGAAAAAAATATCATTTAACAAGAGGTTGAAATCTTCTGTTTTCCCCATTTTTTTCAGCCCAAACTACATGACATGGTCAACACAGTTTTCCAAATAGTGTAAGTGAACTAAAAATCCTGTTTCTGGTGAATTAGTGATTTGTCTGGAAAATTTTATGCAATTTTAATAATTTTAATAAGCCTATTTTTGGGTTAAATCGACTTTTTGTTCTCCATCTATGTCCTTTGGTTAACAAATGTCAGTGTCCAGCCCAAGAGAAGTCAGTCAGTGTGCTTTCTCCTCCTTATTAAGGAAGAAATTCCAAATCAGTACTCAGTTTCAGAAACATAAAAGGTTTATGATATTTTGTTGTAGCAACTTCTTTGGCCAGTGAACTCCAGCAGAAACCAACCATGCTTTGAACATCAAATTCTGACGTTTTAACACTCCTGTGCTAGTTTTATGCAAATAATTCTTTTTATCTGGGGTCATTTGGGTATTTCCCACAAATTCTTTCAGTCACATTGTAAACGGTTTGATGTAACTAGAGAGAGGCATGCTGGGAAGAGCTGCACTCGTCCCAGGCATGCCTGCATTCCCAAAGCTGCAGGCAGCGCCGGCGGCATCTTCTTCACAGGCTGATGATTATTTTGGCACACAAAGTGTTTCTGTCCAGCAAATGAGGGTTCCTTGAAACTGTGGAATCAAAACAGTTGACAATATACTTTTAAGGAAGAGGTTATGGATCAATATAAAAAGAGTATTTTGAAGCTGTGCTTGCTGCCACTTCTCAATACTGGTTTATCTTGACCTACTGCCTAACACAGAGAAATGCTTTTTTGAGTTGCAAAGCACTGACAGGGATTCAGGGCCTTAAGAGAGATTGTGTGGAAATCTGACTGATTCAGAATTAGCACCATGAGTTGCAACTGCAAGAACTGGCTTAGTTTAAACAAATGTGAACGATATATGCATGTCTCCTAGTTAAGACAAGCAAGTTATTTAACTATGATATTTACCATGCACACAGAAAACAATGATGGTGAAGAATGGCAGCTGAACAGAACCTGAGTACTACTATGTGTGTATATTAAATAGTTCCTATTTCTAAATTAAGTCAGCTGTCATTTCCTCTACTTATCTATTAATTGGTACTTAGAAGCCCTCATACTGCATGCTCAAGGAAAGATCTCCAAGGAAAATGTGATGAAATAAAAACGTGAAGTACAGAGGAAACAATGTTGAGTTCAAAAATATACAGTAATGGCCCAATTCATGGTCAATAGTACTATTAAATTCGGCTCCCGTTGGTTCCAATTTAGGAAAGCACAAACATGCAGGCCTAAATCTATCTCCCTCGAATTATCTCTGTCCTTGCTGATTGCAATGAGACTTCCATGCATGGTTAGATTTAAACATGCATTTACATCTACTGAATAAGGTATTCTTTTTTCCTTTTTTCCTGAACAGGACTATTAGTAAGAATATGCAGAAACTGGCTTTGTAACACTAAAATCTATAATCTATCCCATTCTTTATGACTAGTTACAGGGAGTTATAAAAGACTTAATCCTAGGACAAGGGATGTCAGCATGTGGTTTTCTCTGTAGTCAGTGAACTGCAAATCTGCAGGTCTAAGGAGAAGAACTGAACTCCTCCTTTGTCTGAGAGGGTGCTTTGGCTGGTAGAATAGGCTGGTAGAATAACTTTCCAAATCTGCTTTTACATCAATCAGTCCTTAGTCAACATGGGGTTCTGTCTCTACTCATGGTCACCACCACACTGTGGAGACAAATGTATTTCCCCAAAGTAGCATTCTATCTGCAGCACAGCTGGCTGAATCAGTTCTGCGTGGGTAGATGCTAGCCTCAGAAGGAATATTCTTACAGAGCAGCTTTCAACTGACTTCAGCAGATACTGGAAAATGACCAAAAACATACAAAAAGACCAAGCTTTATTTAGGCAGTCTGGCTTTTTATGGCACTCACAGTTTCCTGAATAAAGAAAGGGGAAGCGGGGCTAATGAGGTACTATTTCTTTTCTTCTGCTCCACTCAGAAAAGAGATCAGTCATGCTATACCTCTGCTAGTGATTTCATTTGAACAGTGAGATGACTTTGAAGCATCTCCTTCTGCCTTTCTCCATCTGCTCCATTGTATCTCTGGTTTGGTTCTCAAATGTAATTTTGGTGTGCATGAACGAGGCATGCTATGCAAGAAAATGAAACTGGGAGCCATGCTCCAGTGTTTGATGGAGCATTAAGGTCTGAACATATGAGTAACCTGTGTACCTACAAGGTCCCCAAATGCATATCTAATGTGCACGTGTCCACAAAAGGCTCTTTAACCATCAGCAGCTCCAAAAACAACCTCTTATGCTCCGTAACAAGATAGAGCGCCGTGTATGCCCTCCTCATGTAAGTCATGTATGCCCTTGACCTCAAGTCCCCAGTGCTTTGAGACTCTTCTGCTCCAGCCTCATCTATCCATCCTTCTGATATGAAATCTTCTTTACCTTCTATATCTGTCCTCACATGCTAAACCTCTTATTTCATCACTTTAAAAAAATTATTGCTCTTTTTCTATTCCTCTTTCCTGCAATGGTGACATCTATGGCTCCCTCCAGTCTCTCAGAAAACTCATAAAATGTAGCCTTCATCCTTAGGGAAATAGTACAGCTCATAGATCTGTACAGTGAGAGGGCTAGAAGTTTCTCTAGTGGCAGCGTAACCCTGCGGCAATAGCAGGAAATTGCTCCTCATGAGCACCATGAGATATAAGAGGACTGCTGAGCAGTGCCATACTACAATCAAGAAATGAAGGCTACATTCTTGGTAATGCAACTTTGCACTGCACTTTGGGACTAATACAGCTGACATGCCCATTATGGAGAGCTTGAAAATATCTTTGGGTGGGAGCATACCACAATGACTCCTGCTCATCTATAATCCCATGCCCTGGGCCCAGGACCACCATGCAGGACAACCCAGAGGAGAGCATGACCTCCAGTGGCATTCCAGGGTCCCTTCTCTTCCTGGCTCTCTCTGAAGACTGCTTCAAGGCATGTCAAAGGACCCCTCTTTGACCAGCTCCTGCCACAGCCAGCATCAACAATTCATGAAGCAGTACTCCAGGGTCCAGACCAGGTAAGCAAATTACGGTTTTATGCATGGCCTTGGATTGAAAGGATGGGGCAATGCCTGAGGCTTCTAGTGGAATTTGGGTTTTGGGCTCAGAGCTGTGGCAAACAAAGCTCTGTATAAGCTGTATGCCTAACAGGAATGCTGTGCATTTAACAGCATAAAAAATGCATTTAGAAGCATAACATTCAGTGAGGGCTGTGAGCTGTGAAGCAAATCTTAGTGTAGCTATATTAGAAACTGCCACATATGTCTGCCCAGCTCCACCTTCACCCTTTGCAGTATCTTGTGATAATGTAATCCTCCTAGATATCTATCCAAAGATCCTGTCTCATGGCTCCTTCCCTCTCTAACACAGAGGTTAAGGACTGATGACATGACATCACAGGTAGTAAAATTGCAGACCCCAGTCCTGCCCCACAGATGCCAAGAAGAATGAGCAGCTTAGTGGGCTTTCTCTTGTTCTGGAGCCCTACCCAGATGGAGGGGTAGAAACAGCACTCAGTTGCATTACTGTTCTTTCCTCTCCCCCTAAACACATACCATCAGAAAGTCCCAGGGTCACCTGCCTTGAGTCTTGTGTGGGCAGAAATACCAGGTAGTTGGTTGCTTGAGGGCTGTGGAGGGCCAGCCCACAGTGTTGTACACAGTCCCCAAAGTGCAGGTTGGTTTTTCATCAGTTTGGATTGGCAGTTAGGGGTGGGAGCAGGGTCACAGCAAACACTTTCAGGGACACCCCTGCTCGTTCAGGCCTCATTCACCACCCCAGGGGCACTTGGAGTAGCAGGAGGCTCCTGACTCCCTATCCATCTAGTACAAGCTAAAAATCAAAGTGAGGTTTCAGTATCCCTCTAGAAGCCTCTTTCTGCTCTCAGTGATTAACATCTACTTTCCACCATGCTGTTCCCCAACACCATAATGCCTGAAGCCTCTAGTTGCCCCATCGCTTGCTACAGAGGATAGCAGTTTCACAGGATACACAGTCTCCTGGAGCACAGCATTGGCCATGGCACAGAGATAACCTGCCAGTACATGGAGATTGAGGGTGAGAGGGTCATCCTATTCAGAGCCCAACTTCATGTGCCCCGCACAGGAGCTGATCATAGCAGAAACAGTTTGACCCCACTCTGCCCACACCGAGTCTTCAAAACCTGGGGGCTGTGCCACAATCACCGCAAACAACAGAGGGACACTCAAGGACCAAAGGTTTGCTTTTCTCACCTCTGCAGGTTCTTCTGATGAAGAGCAAGGTGAAAGGAGCCGCACTTGCCCCTTTCCTTACAGCAGTACCTCATCTGCATGCTGCTGCAGGCAGCCAACAGTGCCTGCACCTGAAGGCTGGAGCCTCACAGCTGGAAATGTACTGCCAAGAAAACAGAAGAGAGGGGGCGGACATGGAAGCTGTGGGTGAAAGGCTTCCTTGAGACCCTCAGCACAGCTGGAAGCAATCCTTAGCCTACCTCGATCCAGACTAGTAGAGTCTCAGGAGCAGCAGGATCTGCAGGTGGCAGAAATAGCAACTTTCTATGGGTGGCCCTTTGGCCCAGGTGTTGGGAGAGCAGTAAGAGATATCAGAGGAGAAAGAAGCTTGGCCCAGAGCTGAGGGGAAACTCAGCAGACTTTGGTAGTGGCTGTGTGGGCCCACACCAAGCCCCTACCTAGACAGTGGCTTTGGGCCTCTGTTGTTTTCTCCAGAACTTCAGGTGTTGTGCCTCCTCCTTTAGTTAAGTCATAGTGGTCAGATTCTGTTAATACTAGTCCCCACTGTGGCTTGTTGCTGTTTTGCTGCTTGTACTGTTTGGCCAGTACAAGCGTCTCCTCTAGACTCCTTCCTTATTTCTCTTCTCCTTTTTTTTGGTTGCAAAAGCTCCAACACTTGTATTTGCCCGTTTATAAGTTACAGACATGTTGCCTTACCCTTCCATCCCTCTTCTGCCCTTTTAATATAAAATTTTTCCTATTGGCTTGAACAGCATTGCAGACCCATTTCTGTTTGGGTAAGGGATTCTTCCTATTCAGATTCTTAGTCTTTGCTCAGCTTTTGCCTAAAGCTGCGTGCCTTCCTGTCATATGTCTTATTTGTGAAGAGCACTACTGCAGGGAGCATTTTGCTTTGGAGTATTGATGCCTTAATATGAGGCAGAAAAGGCATAAGTCATCCTCATAATAATTGAAAGTTGGCCTCTAAGTGCAGGAGAGCAAGTAGTTTCTGGGACTGAAGAGATCCAGTTGTAAGAACTCTCTGAAAAAAGGACCATGGGCCATGTGGTGTTGATGGGATACCAGGAGGCCCATCAACAAGTCACTATTAAAATATAATGGACTATTCCAGCTTAATGTCTAGGCAAAGGACAGACAGGTGATTTCTCCTGAGAAAGTCTAGGGCTAGAGTTGAAGAAGATATAGGTGTATTAAATCCTTCTGGGCATGAGGGCTGCTGCAATAAATCTGCCTAGGTGGTTCACCAGGGCCAGCCTGACAACAAAGTGGTAGTCCCTGTCTGTAGTTGTTGTAATCATGGCTATGTGAGACTGGCACCAGTTGGGAACGTGTATCCCATACAAGCTCTGTAGAACTCTGTAGGCTTGGATATGGGAATATGGTGGCTGAATTATTCCCCTCAGTTATTTAGATGTAGAATTTGTATTCCCAGGAACTATCCTCAGCATTTCTACAAAGGTACAGAGATAAAGTCTGCATGCAGATCAGAAGACTGCTAAACATAACAGCATGTTACTCAAATAAAGCTCTTCATTTTAAAAGTTGTGACTTCCTTTCCTAGTTTCTTCCCAAATACAGTGTGAATTCAATATTGTTTGCAGTTATTCCACCTTATAAACATATGCAAATCTTTTTACCCCTTTATCTTATTGCCATAGTCTGTTATTTTAGTAAGGCAGCAGCTATAGTTTCATCTCTGAGTCTGGCTGAGTAAGAGATGATTCTCCCGCAAAGAGCAGGAAAAGAGCAAGTTATAGGTCACTATTTCTGCGGGATGGATATTTCTGATGTGCAGGTAGGCAACATCTTACAGAGACGTCCCACAATGCAGCTGAGGTTGTGGTGGGTAGACCCTCTTAATAGCTATTAAAAGCAACAAGTCTGTATGCAGTGTTCACACAGAGCTCTGGGATCTCCACTCTCGTTCCTCGAAGAGGATTTTTTCTGTGAGATGTCAGCTGAGATCTGGTCCTTCCATGCTTTGTATATCATTCATCCTAGGACGAGATGAAAGAAAAGGAGATCCTGCGTTGCCTCAGAACTCACTAGTTTTCCTGAGTTATACCAAGAGCAAAACTCCTCCCTTGAGTTGTCATCTACCAGTTCACTGAACAAGTCAAAGTCTGCTCTCCTGCATCCAGGGTCTCTAGTCTGCTACTCACCTTCTTCATTTCCCTCCGGATCTTAAACTCATGGTCATGGCTGCCATCAGCTATTACCTCCCTGACTATTTCTTCCTTATTTCTGAGTAGCAGAGCCAGGAGAGCAGCTCCCCTATTTGGCCCATCCAGCACCTACACCAAAAAAATTGTCCTCACAGTCTCCATCAATCTCATTAATAACTCACACCTCATTGTGTTGCCCTTGCAGCAGGTATCAGGATTGTTAAATTCCTCCTTGAAGATCAAAGCCTGTGACTGTGAGGCTTCTTCTAGTTATTTAAAGAAGGCTCATCCACTTTCTCTTCTTTATCAGGTAGTCTGCAGCAGATGCCTACCACTTCTTGTTGGCCTCCTGTCTGATCCCGACATGTAAACTCTTGACTGGTTTGTCACCAGTGTCATCGCAGAGCTCTCTGCATTTGAAAAATATGTGTAGGGCATGACCTGCGCCATGTCTTCCCTGCCTGTCTTTACCAAAGCTTCTAAGTCTATCAGTTGCAGGGCTCCAGTTATGCCAGCTATCCTACCACATCTTAATCACTTTAATCCCAGTAAAATCATAGCTCTGCAGGTGCACACAGACGACTAAGTCCTCCTATTTCACATGCTCTGTGTGTGAGTGTGTGTGTGTGTGTGTGTGTGTGTGTAGGCACTTGAAATGGGCTCCCAGTGACATTGTTCTCATGTGGGAGTGCGAGACCCTCCTGTCTCATGAGTGCCCCCCCCATTGCCTTTTCCAGCTATATATATATGGACTTTGGTCTCCACTCCCTGATGAACTTAGTTTAAAGCTCTCCTTAACTACTGTAGTAAACTTGTTAGCAAAGATGCTCTTGTGTCACTTTGTCAGGTGGATCCCATCCCTCCCCAGCAAGCCTTGTTCTCAAAGCGGTTCTCATGCCCACCGAAGCAAAAGCCCAAGGACCAGACAAGCCTCACCCGTCTCTCTGCCATATTTTGATCTCAAGCCTGCATTAAGCGTCACACCTGAGTCAGCGAGTCTGGTCAGAAGGTGGGTTGGAGTCTCCAGCCACAAGCACATATCACTTTTTCTGATCAGCAGGTTGGCCATGGCCAGCCTGGACACCTCACCTGACAGATCCCGTTCCTTCTTTTGTGGTGTTGGGGCCGTGTACCTGTTCTCCCAGTGAGCGTCTGCAGGTGGAAGAGCATCCTTGCTGCCAGAACAGGCTTTCAGCTTCACTCATGATGGAAGAGTCCTCATCCTCAGCCTCTGGCCATACCTCTTCCTGTGCAACATCAGGCTTGGGCTCCTGTCCCTGCAGAACCTGTCAATCTCCTGTGCATCCTTGCTGATGCTAAGCAATTTGCTCACCTCCTTCAGCTCTTTCAGGCCTCTGGCAGCTCAGCAACTTTACCAGAGCACATCTCCCACTGCTGAGGCCATCACCCTGGCCTCAGGCCAAGGGAGGACCACGAGGCTCTCCCTGTATTTTGAGATTTGGATGGGTGCATCTGCTCTGAGGAGCTCTGTCCCGTTCTAGGACTCTGACTTACCAGGGGTGTCACTTCTGCCGCTTTTAACACTTTAAATGGTACACACTTCATAGCCTCTTAGTATACTACGTCAGTAATGCTGATAGTTTCCAGAGGGTGCTGTATCTCATTTTCCTTTGGATTTGTTTACAGTAAATACCACTCTCATTCCTAGAATTATTGCTGTTATATTTAGTACTAAAATTACATATTAAATGGTAGACTAATGTGTTTTTACAACATTCAAAAATAACAGAGTGCCAGACTTAAAAGATACCAATCTAAATACACTGTGCTGCAATATGAAATGATTCAGTTCTTCAAATCTGCCTATTGCATTAGAACTGAATTCAGGCAGTGATAGGCTTTGGGAAAGGATGGAGATTATATCAGCGTATGGTAAAAGATAGTCTTGTAGCTCAGGGGTAGACTGAACCTCTGAAGATAAAGATATATTTCCCTGCTGTGCTAGAGATTACAAGTACGAACTGAGACAAATCATTGTAAAATGCCATTGACTTCAGCAGGCTAAGTCATAATGGCTAGTCCCAGAAAAAGGATTTAGGCATTATAAACATGAGCAACCATATAGATTGCTCCTATCTCACCTATTTGTACCTACTCTGAGGGCTGTCATCTGTCTTTGTTTCCTTGAAACCCTGTCTTAATCTGCTGCTGAGACACCTTCTCTTCCTTTTTGCAAGGGTGTTTAGGGTCTGAGAAAAAGGCCTTAACATGCATTCTATTTTGATTTCTCAAAATAGAAACCTTAGTGTTGAACTCTGAGGCATGAATCAATAGCTGTTGAAAACTCAACTTACGATCATATTTTGCTAATATTATCCCTCTCCACAGATTTTCACAAAGTTCACAAAAGTGTCAAAAGAAAATGTGCTAAACAAATCTATTTTTAGGTCTTTCACCTCATTGCCCTCTCTGCTCCAAAGCTCTTCCAGGGAGTAGACTAAGTGATATTATGCTGGACTTTTTTGGAAACCAGCCTCAAAGAAAAGGGTTGCAGGTTGTGTTAACTGTAGTTCTGGGGCCAGACATGAACTCTAATTTCTCGAGGAAGTAACCTGAATTCACAAACATGAGGAGGCTCTATCTGGCAGGGTAATACACACACACACACGCACACACGCACACACGCACACGCGCACACGCACACACGCACACATGCACACTTTTGTATTTGTCTTTCAGGGATCAGTATATCCCTTTACACATGCTTTGTGCTCCCCAGAGCTCATCAGGGAGGGCTTGTACTGTCTGTAAACCATTCTGCCTTTCTGAGCTTGTGGAGAGACATACTCTCGCTGTGTTGGGTGTAGTAGAGGTGTATCAGCTAACCAACTTTCTTTTGATAATGTGTCGAAATGTGAAATTCTTTGTGAAGGCCATAGATTTCTTTTTCAAAGAGAGACCTGCCACTCTTCCCTTTTCTATATGTATTTTGATTGCCAAGTAGGGAATTCAGCAAACTATTCCAAGTGACTTTGGCAGTTTTGTAGCTTGATGCAACTCAATACTACTCAAGGCAGTAATCTTTACCAAACACTTAATTCAGTAGAGCCTCTACATCTTTCAAGTCTTGTTAGGCAGCGTAGTAAATACAAAGGCA